GCTCGTTAAAAGGATAATTAAAACTCAACAAGCCCCAGCTTTTCAAAGGGCATCTCTATAACCGAGCATGGATAAACAGGGGCTGTATCTCCTCTCATTCCAACGATCCAACCTGTGGGACTGTGGTGGTACAATTAGCAAGCTTTTTCTAAGCTCTTGTTCAGCAGATGGCTGCGAGCAGCGAATTTGCAAATTACTGCAGAATAAGAGAGGGGAACAAAACCAGCCTCTAAGTGTCAGCTAAGAAAAAAAAGCTGCAAATCCTTAACGCTGAGCTTGGAATCTAGGATCCTGACGGGTGAACTGGAGAAGACTGTACCTGTATCTGTGCTCTGTTTCCTGCCGTGATGTTAGATATAGTCCAGCAGGCTTCTTTCCTGATCGACTCCTTGGGACTACTTAACAAATGAAGAAGACAAGGCAGGGCTGAACAGTTCAGAATCACCTTTTGAAAAAGAAAGCAGAAGTGAGATCACCACGATCAGGTAGCAGAGCCGACGGGCGCCGCAGTTCCCTGCAGGACGGTCATCTCCCCTCACCTGGGTTTGGATGTCATCCCCCGTCACGATGTTGCCAACTGCTCGCAAGGCCGGGGAGGCCACTTTGTAGTCGTTGTGCCTGCGGGAAAAGCGGTGAGAGGACAAAACACACGTCTATCAGACCACACGCAGCTGGATATTCAGAAGATTCTCTCTCCAATATCTCCTGTGCATAATTTACTTAGAATCCCATCCCCCGGCATGTAGAAACATACAGTTGACCATATTGCCATGGGATGAGCAGACTGAAAATAAAGTTGCAATACAGATAGTTTTCACCCTTTACCTCCTAACTCCACCGTTTTTTAGCTTAATTAGAAATCTCACCTTTTACATACCCTTCCTGAACAAAGACCTTGTTAACCCAATGAGAACGCCCAGAATTTTTCAGGATAATTGGACAGAAGTAGCTCACAGTTCTACCAATCCTGAAGGCGTTAAAGAGGCCCATTCAAACCACCAACAGCTTTGTCCAGGTCCCCATAGAGATATCAGAGAAACAAAGCCAAGCTGACTTTTGCTAGACACTATCCTTGCCACCCTTGATTCGCCTGGTAACGAGGCTTCCATAAGCATACTGGAAGCCTGAGAGCACAAGACACTCGGCAGTCCTCTCTCCTTTCACAGACGAGAAGCACCAGTCCAACCTCTCTCTAGTAAGTTCTTCCTGGCGTGCAGTAGGAACCAGCATCCCGGCACAGAAAACACTCAGCTTCCCTCAGAAGGAAAAGCCAGTAAGCTACAGCTCTCAGCCTGCTTCAGGCCCTCCCGTGCAACTGCTGCCAAGTCAGCCGAGGCTCCCAGGACCCGGATCCTGTGCGCACGAGAGGCGTGAGGAGCGCTCCGACGGGTTGCGGCATGACCTCACGCTCAGTCACGCGCTGCCCAGTCTCACGGGCTGAAGCAGCGAGAGCAGGTACTCACATTAACAGCTCCACCAGTCGCCGACACACTCCCGAGTCAATAACTGCTTGAATTTTCTCATTGGGGCCATCTGATAAGTAGGAAAGAGCCCAGCATGCATCTGCCAGCAAGTCAGAGTCACTGTTGAATAACAATCGGGACAACACTGGCAGGCAGGGAGATACCTGCAACAACAGCCACCACCCCAGGTTAGTCACGTTCTGTCAAGGACCACCGCTCCTGCATGCAAACACCACGTGGCTAAGCTGACAGGCAGGATAAGAAGTCTTGAATGTCCACAGTTTCCTTCCCCAAAGTCAGCATCTTCCTTTCTGGTTCACATACCTCGTAATCACAGTGTCTAAAGTTACCTCAACAGCTTTATTGCTAATCTAAAATTACATCCCTTCCTCTTGGACCAAGTCAAGACTCCCAAGACAAGTGCTACTGGGCATGCTACTGTTTGGAAGCTCCTCACGTGCCTCAGGCAGGAGCACTGCTCCATTTTTTGCTCTTAATAACACTAAATAGCTCAGTATTCAGAGTAGCAGCCATCAGTTACACCCCCAAATACTTCAATCGTTTATAAGTGGTTTTACATTCACACTCAATTCAGATTTCATCCCTCACTACAGGCTCCCCAGCTTTGACACATGAGTTTTCATTTAAAAAAAAAAAGTGAAAACACATTTATCTTAAAACATTTTTGTCCTACCAAAGAAAGATGAGACACGTGAAAGGCCAGAACCTTTTGTTAGAGCCAGCAGCACACCAGGAAAGGGAAAAAAAAGGTTCCCACATAGATACAGGAGTCGTTTTGTAGCACTTAAGAGGTCTCAGAATCAAGTTTTTAGTCGCAATTTGAGTGAAGTCTCAGAATTTCAGAGTTCCTAACAAAAGGGTTTAGAGAAGCCCACAGTATATGCTACCTTGCAGGGAAGCCTGGGCTTGTCCCTTACTTGAGGGGTCCAGCTGACGGGCTGCCAACAGAGCCAGGCAAAAAAAAGCTGGCAGAAAATTAAACAGGTACCTGGATATCTGCTGAACAGTAAGATCAACCTCAGC